GCAACACAAATACGCGTCTCTTTCGAAGAGTCCAAATGAACTCTATTCTGTATCTTACTGAAAATTTATCTTCCATCTCTTTCCGAAGGACCACCACCCTTTCGCCACCACGTAAATTCCTCTCCTTCTGTTTCACGCGATTTCTCCCTCCACCGACTATCTCCAATTTGCTCGTGTTTCTCTCGATCTCTCCGTTCGTCTCTCCTTTCTGTACTTCTTCTCTCTCATTCTCGCGCGCAACTCTCTCTCTTACCTCCGCCCCATCCCTATTCACGTTCCTCATTTTTCCTCTCCCACCATTTCTAAAACTCTGTCTCGTGTCTTTAGCGCCGCCGTTTTTATCTCTTTCCGCTCCGTTCTCGCGTTCACCGGCACGAAATACTTGCTCTCGCTTTCTCACAGTCAGTATCCATGTCGCTTTTCAGCAACCGCCACTTTTTCCATCTTTCTCACACACATCATTCATCCTTTTCAGTCGGACCGCTTGAATACCGCTCTCTTTCTTTTTATCAAATGCCTCCTGTAACTTCCTCTCCCCACCACGTAATTTCTCTCTCTCTCTCTCTCTCTCTCTCTCTCTCTCTCTCTCTCTCTCTTCCTCTCTTCATCTCTTCCGTCTGTTTTTCGTACGTCCTTTCCCAACTTGTGTATTCCTTCATCCCTCCATTTGCGTTTCCTATCCTTCTTTCTCACCTGCCATTGACTCCCCACTAGCTGCGCGCGATTCCGCCCTTCTCCCTTCCAGAATCTTTCCTTCCATCCCTCTTCCATCCGTATCCCGTATTTCTGACTTTCATCCCTTTCGTTCAACCCGACGGAGTCCCCTCCGTTCCTCTAACAGCGCCGCGATCCCGCGTTCCTTACATCTGTCGCGTTCCACCGCGGAAGTCAACCCTGTACCGTTGGAGGGTGCATCTTCTTATTACTCGACACGGGCAGCTGGGCACGAGAACCTGGCGTCACATTCCTGAATCAAGCGAAATACAGACGTCCGGATTTTTATGTCCCTCCTAAAAAGAATATGCCGTTCGCAAACAGACGACAAACACTTCGGATAATCTATATCAAAAGCAGACGCGCTAAAAGGTATTATGACATTATTATTTGTAACGATGTGTATTACGATGTATAATTTCAAATAATTACTATTCAAAGTATTTTAATGAAGAAATAATACGTTGTAATTACAGCTTGCAATTGAAGCTCGCGCAACGAGGAACTTACGTGGTATTATGTGGGAATGCCGGCGTAATATCAGAAAGAGTACTCTCGTGCGGACTCTAACGAATTAATTAAAGGTAGCCAACCGTCGTGCGAAACCAAATGTGGAAATAATATTGCTCGGTTTTTCGTTTAACCGCACAAACTGGATTCTCGCATTCTCTTGAAAATCAACTTGACGATGTCGACGAATATTTCATCATCCTTCGTGAAATTCCGCCGCGTAGTAAAACAAGAGCAGATCGCGAAATACTGTATCACGATCTTTAATTAAATCGCGCATCTCTATTCAACCACTGATTCTCTTTCTCTTTTATTTATTTTCACTCTTTTTTTTTATAGAATATTGTTAATTTAGAAATTACTAATAAAATATAAAATTTTGGTTTTATTTTATGGAAATATGAAGAGCGTTTTTCACGTCTGACATTTAAGGCTAAATATAATCAGACTTCGACATTAATTTGACGACAATGCCGCTGAGAAAATCTTAAGAGGGCAAAAACCGATCGAGAAAAATGGAGCAAAGGGGACTAAAATGCGCGACGTTATGTTCTTAATTGATCATTAACTCTGTTTTAATCTCGCGAGGAATATTTATCGTGCTTTTTTTTTATGTTGAATGACCTAGTAATTTCTTTTATATCGATACGGTCTAGACAGACAGCATCAGATGAAAATTGACTTTTACGGGATTTATTATATCTTATCTATCTTTTAGAGCTCATTTTCAGATTTCTACGCGGTTTTCCTCTTCCACCCCCCCCCCTTTCCCGTCTCTTCTCTTCTTTCTCTCTCTCTCTCTCTCTCTCTCTCGCTCTCTCTCTTCTCTCTTATTTTCTTATTGCTAAGCAGCGCGGGCCGAGATAAACGTTTGCGGATAACGGAATCGAATTTCCCGTGCTTACTTAACCGCAAAATAGACAGGAGAGATTTTTGTAAGAATTCTTAAAATTGTACTTCTTAAACTATTTATTCAAATAAATAACAAATCAATATCGTTTTAAGATTACAAAGACATGCAGAAATATTAAATGCAATTTTTTAATGGAAGTTAAAAATAAGTTTTTATTCTGTAACTTTTGTCGTCGTACTTTCGTCGCATTTCTTTTTAAATATTTAAAGTTTTAAGGCACGCAAAAAATTTAAGCAGTAAGACGTAAGCAAATTTTGGATTCGCTACACGTACGTTATTGTCTTACGTCTCTGCTGGAATTCGGCTGCATTTACTTATACTTTTTATAAGTACTTACATATCTCTTAATGTCTTTTTTGTATGCCTTTTTTGTATAGTTTTTCTGTTTGAATTTGTCATTGTTTAATAACAGAAAGCGACATATTTTAAAGATATAAGAAGTTTAATGACAACCATTTGAAGTTCGTTTTTATAAAATTTGCAGTTTTTTTTATATTATTTGCTAAATTAATGCCTAAATTTTAAGCAGAATCATAAGGCTCGTAACATATTTCTGTAAAACTTGTAAAAATTCTTAAGTGCTTATACCTTCATACAACATTTTTACAGACAGCTTCTTACTAGTCTTATAATAAAATTTATAAGAAATCGTAGATATTTACGAATAATCGTACGTCTTACGAAACATACGCACAAAATTAGAATATCAATTATAAGTTCTTACAAGTTTTACGAAAACATGTTACGAGTCTCTTACGATTCTGCTTAGAATTGATCCATTAATTTGTTTACCTAAATCTATAAAATTTTGTCTTTTACGATCGTAATATTTCATGTGTTCTTTCATCTTTTAAGAAATATATTATTTATATTTTAAATATCATGAACAGATATTAAAATAATAGCGGTCACAAACGGTTTAATAAAAAGTTACAATCCGAGCGATTTAAAAGAGGCAACTCACATTTAAAAACTATTATTTTGCTGCCGTCTACATAAAATGACACTGGGACCATTGTTTAAAGACCATCGTTTATGCGTGGTATAAGGAAACCGCAACGATG